AGAGGCTTTAGCCCGTGCTCGATCAGACACGACCCGAGATTTCCTCCATTTGCGCTCTAGCCCCCTTCTCGCATGCTTCATCACAGTCAGCTCCCCGGTGAACCAGGGAGATGGCCTGTCACGACGCAACGAGATGGGGCGTTCGGGTGCGATCACATCTAACGCCCTGGACATCTCCCCATTATAGAGAGTCACCAAGGCGTCGATGGAATCGCCAGGCTCCAAGGCAGGAAGAACCCCAAGATTCCTCAGGAATCCATCCAGATCCATCAGTCTCCTAGGGCGGACCATTTTAATCTGTCCTCCACCCCTGCGGAGGTTAAGAGTCGCAGCAAGTCTAAAACTGATCAGATAATGATCAGACCATGACACCGGAAGGATGTTTTGATCTTCCACTCTAATCATTTCGCTGTCCGCCACGAAAACAAGGTCAAGAGTATGTCCAGCTTGATGAGTGGGACCAGATATTATTTGTGACAGTCCTATGGTCGTCATGGTGGCCATAAAATCCTGAGCTGCACCAGATAGGGTGGTCTCGGCATGGATGTTAAAGTCTCCCAGCACCACCAGGCGCTGGGAGACCAAGGCCGAATTAGAGACCACCTCCGCTAGCTCAGACAGGGAAACTACTGGGTCGCGGGGTGGGCGGTACACCAGCAGGAACCCCACACTGTCACGGCACCCCACTTTCAAGTGGACGCACTCAAACCCAGAAGCCTGCGGGACAGCGCATCTGATCACGGCGATGGATTGCCGAAAGACTACTGCGACCCCTCCTCCCCGCCCCCCTTGTCTGGCCTGCTGATGCACTCCGAAACCTGGTGGACACAACTGAGTGAGATTTACTCCCCCCAGCTCGTCCAGCCAGGTCTCGGTGATGCATGCCAGATCCGCCCTCTCATCCAGGATCAAGTCCTGGATGGCCGCGGTCTTACCATTAACGGATCTGGCATTAATCAGCAGGACCTTAAGACCAAGGGGGCTGCCATGGAGCCTACCACTACCTACCTTCTCCAGGGTCGCAAGAACTCTGTTGCGCTTCTCCCTGGGATATTTAAGATTTAAGTCTTTGGGATTTTACCATGAACTCAAACTCATGTATTGTTCTATGATTCTTGGATTACTCAAGTTGATGTTTTATTCCTTGTCTTTTGGATTAATCAAGTTCATGATTATACCTTGATCCTTGGATTTATGTTTCTCCTATGTTTGGCTTCCTGGTGAGTGCTTGAGCAAGGTGAACCCTAGCTGAGGTGCAACACCTTGCTTCAAAATCAAACAATTCCCTCTTTCAACTCATCCACCTTTGTCTGTCTCCCAACTGATAACTACTGCATTGCTTCCTTCATTCTACATCAGTTATCTAAATTCTATTGGCTAGTCTCATGTAAGCAACCGCAAATGCCCTAAATTAACCAGATTCCTTTTGATTTTGGAAATGAAACAGGACCAGCCTTGGATATAACTTGAGTGGAAGGTGGCCAATCAGTATCATATACTGCAGGCTATATTTCAGATGAAGGGCCTGGCAAAACCACTTCTGGGTATTCATTGTCTAGGAAAACCCTATGAAATTTGTGGCCTCATTACAATTCAATAGGTAACCAGAAGACTGAGGATCTGCGAAACAGAGTAAGGCTACAGCACAGCATGCCTACAAGTCAGCGTAGTGTTAAAATGTGGTGAAATGGTTTGATTTTTAGATATTTATAAAGTATTTTCAAGCTGTGGCTAGTCAAATCCATAGATGCAGAACTTATGGATACAGAGGGCCAACTGTGCATTTTCTTTGAAGATTGCAAGCAATTTGGGGCTTATTTTCTGCACAAAAATCCTAAATAGCAAGCAGAATATGTTGTAGTTGGCAGTTTATACAAAACTCACACTTTTTGCATAAAAACAACATTTTCTTTACAGGAAACAGAATTTTCTGCATTTCCTGTGCAGGGATATACTAGTTCCTATGTCTAAACATGTTGTTTTCTGTGCAAAAATAAATGTACAATTTTGTACATAATTAAGTTCCAAGCTACAAAGATTAACGACAGTTAAGATTCTTGTCACCTGGTTCCCAATAGTCAAGATTTTTAATAAATTGTAATGTTCTTTCCATATGCCCTGAACCTTTTTAGCTTCACAACCTGAGAAACATCGAGAGAACATTATTTGCATCACCACTTTTTTGTGACTCTTACCCAGACCTATTAATCTATGCTCTGACTCAGTATGCACTGTCCTGTCAATATTAGGAAACTTGACTCTTTTGTCAGATTACCAGATATGGTTAAGATAACTCATAGATAAGCCACAAATATCAAATTGTAAGAAAGCCACAACAATTGGGCTATACTGGATTCACTGAGAGTTACTTACTAATCTTAGAAGATTCACGAAACTAAAGTGGTTTGAACTCTTTTGAAACTGATCTTTGAAAAATGAAGAAATTTCAGATAAGCTTTTAAGAGCATGTGGCAGGACCAGTTCTTCCATCTTACATAAATATAATAAATCCCATAGGTGCATTATACATTTCAAAAAACAAACAAACTGGAGTTAAAAGTTTATGGGGAGGAGTAGGAAAGGGATCAACCATGTAGTGGAGTCTCCTTCTCTGGCTGGACGGCCATCTGTTGGGAGGGCTTCCTGCTGGCAGAAGAGGGTCGGATCTTATGGTCTCTTCCAGCCCTACGATTATCAACCTAGTATATTCAATCAATCAGTTAGTTTACTGTACTAACCAAAGGTCATAACAAAAAGGTACAGGTGCAAGGTGCACAGAATAGTACCCTCAAAGCAAACAAGAAGCAAAAGATAATAAGCATAGCTGAGCTTCATGCTCATACAAAGAGTAAAAACATAATAGTTACTGGAGGAGGGTCAAATTAGCCCCTTGAGTCTTCATACTAGTTGATGGCAATTTTATCTAGCTCTCTATTTCTGATCTTTTTTGCAGACAGAGCAATGAGAGCCATTTTATATGTTAGATAATAATCATTTGAGTCACTTAGCAAAAACTGATCAGTTTCTGCAAGAGAGTTGCCATTCTCTTTTATCAGCAGGAGTTTCAAATATATTTCTCCTTCCAAAGAAGGAGCCTCCACCACACTCCAGGGCAGTGGAACTCTCTGCCCCGGAGTGTGGTGGAGGCTCCTTCTTTGGAAGCTTTTAAACAGAGGCTGGATGGCCATCTGTCAGGGGTGATTTGAATGCAATATTCCTGCTTCTTGGCAGGGGGTTGGACTGGATGGCCCATGAGCTCTCTTCCAACTCTTTGATTCTATGATTCTCTCTGGATCCAACCCTATGATTCTATGAAACCAACTGGAAAACTTGCTTGGGTTCACTCTACTGTTGAAGTTCTTGTTGTGGCAGTTAAAATACATGCTTTTTTAATTTGGATCTGCCCAAGGCCCTTTCATACTTCATAAAATAATGTAATGATTCTGCTTTAACTGCTAGTTTTGCAGTTTAGGGAGGACTATTTCATATTCAGCCCTTGGTCATAAATGGAGACCAAGTGGAGAGGGAGGCCAGTTTTAGGTTCCTGGGTGTCACTGTTAAGGAGGATTTGACCTAGGGCACCCATACGGCAGCATTGGTTAAGAAAGCCCAGCAGAGATTGTACTACCTGAGACTTCTAAGGAACCAATAACTGAAGAGAAAACTACTGGTGACTTTCTACCACTGTGCTATAGAAAGTATTCTAACCTACTGCATCTGCACATGGTTTGGTAACTGCATAGTTACAGATAGGAAGACTCTCCAAAGAGTCATCACTACTGCATTGGTTGCCCTTTGGAAGAACTTTATAGGCTCTCTAGCCTTAAGAAAGCTCAGAGGATTCTTAAGGGTCCATCTCATTTTTTTAAAAAAATATTGCCATCTGACACATTTTCTTAATTTTTCATGACAGGAGCAACTTGGGAAACTGCAAGTTGTTTCTGGTGTGAGAGAATTGGCTGTCTGCTAAGATGTTGTCCAGGGGACACCAGGATGTTTGATGTTTTACCATCCTTATGGGAGGCTTCTCTCATGTCCCTGCATGGGGAGCTGGGGCTTACAGAGGAAGCTCAACACATTCTCTCCAGATTCAAACCACTGACCTGTCGGTCAGCAGTCCTCCCAGCACAAGGGTTTAACCCATTACACCACTGGGGCCCCTTGGCAGATGATACAGAGCTATAAAGACCAAGACAAACAGACTGAGAGATAGCATTTATCCTAGAGCAGTAACTATATTGAACTCCGTGGTTTTGCATTGATGTGGCATTGGGGGCTGTGCAGTGGTGGTTGGAATGTGGAGGGGTCAGTGTGTTGTTTTTGTGATATGTGCTAGGGAAAGCTTTTAATTTTGTTGTACAGTGTACAATGACAATAAAGTATTCTATTCTATTCCACTAGCTCACCAAATTATTGACCACAGAATTCCACAGAATGCAGCCATGATAGTTAAAGTGGACTGATACTTCAATAATTGCAAAGTGCAATGTGATCCTGGTTATTCCAACCAGCAGACTAAATCATTTTGAAAACACTTCCACTTTCAGAGGGTGCTGATGGAGAAATTTGACTTTAAACACTACAATAGGAAGAAATTCCTAACTTTTGAAAGTAACCTTCTATTCTCTGGACCAGTGGTTCTCAACCTGGGGTCCCCAGATGTTTTTGGCCTACAACTCCCAGAAATCGCAGCCAGTTTACCAGCTGTTAGGATTTCTGGGAGTTGAAGGTCAAAAACATCTGGGGACCCCAGGTTGAGAACCACTGCTCTGGACATTTATGGTCTTGCTTAGAAATTCACGCATCAGCTGTTTCATGCTGCCAGCAAACATATTGTTATGACAAAAGTTTAGCCCAAGGAATTCTCCTGGTAAACCACTCAAGAAAACCAAAATCCTTAATCCTACAGGAATTAAAAAGGTTGTGAATCACTAGATCTGTGGGTGTTGCTCTTTTCTTTTCTTTTGAATATGTTAAACCCTTTCCCTTATCAGGATGGTATATAAATACTAGCTCTTCATATAGAGTTTATTAGATCAAACTGACTTGTTGATTCTTCTTCCACTGGCTGTGATGCAAAGCCAAGGTAAGAAAAGAGCATGGGTACAATTTTGAGTAAGTGCCTAAAGGAAGGCACAGAAAAGTTATATTATCAAGCATTTTTAGAATTCTCTGATTTATATGCAGCCTCTATTAGCTTGTATGTTGTTTATTTTGTTAACAAACTGTGATAACTTGACCATATTCTACTTTGTCATACACATCCAGGTTTTCATCTGTGAAATGTTGGAGGGAATGAGTTAGTGTTTGCCAATGTTTTCAAAGGCATTTTCTTTGCAGAGGGAGTCAAGTGTATTGTATGCGCCTATTCCTTTAGTTATGAAACGGGGCTTCCCAGATTTTTTTTAAAAAATGCTATTAGATGGACTGATATTTTTGTATGCGTCTGTGTATGTGCATGGGTGTTCTAGCACAAATATGCCTGCCTGTGGTTCACTGTCTTCTCTAATAGATTCCCAGGTGCTTTGTGATTTCTCCCCTATAGTTTGCCCATTTCTTTTCTCAAAACCTCTCATCAGAATTATCTTAGAATCCCTTATCGTAGGTTCACAGAGCCAAAAGGAGTTCTCATGCAGGCATTTTGGATGGAGCCACATTTCCATGATCTGAAAATAATGCTGAGCTTTTGTATCAGTACTAAAATGAGTCTTTTTAATCTAAGGATTAGAATTTCCATCAGCATCCTCATTCTATAGATTTATGATGAGACTGCTGATATTTGTACTAGACAAGATAACTAAGATTTCAATTTTTGTTACCAATTGGTTACTGTACCAACTATTATTTTTAAATCCTGCCCTGGACTGTTCCGCAAGGAAGCAAAAGACATAAGTTTTGCAAATAAATGCTTATTTATAGGTAAACATTATATGCATGTGAAATGAACAACCACGTTAGTTCAGACTTGCATAAGTAACAATGAATACATTTGGAACTTTCCAGAGACCACTTCTTCTAAAGCAGTGTTTCTCAGCCTGGGGGTCGGTACCACTGGGGTGGTCGCAAAGAGGTGTCAGAGAGGTTACCAAAGACCATCAGAAAACACAGTATTTTCTGTTGGGTCATGGGAGCTCTGTGTGCCAAGTTTGGTTCAATTCCATTTTTGGTGGATTTCAGAATGCTCCTTGATTGTAGGTTAATAATAAATCCCAGCAACTACAACTCCCAAATGACAAAATCAATACCCCCCCAACCCCACCAGTATTCAAATTTGGGCATATGGGGCATTTGTGCCAAATTTGGCCCAGTGAATGAAAATACATCCTGCATATCAAATATTTACATTATGATTCATAACAGAAGCAAAATTACAGTTATCAAGTAGAAATGAAAATAATTTTATGGTTAGGGGTCACTACAACATGAGGAACTGTATTAAGGGGTCACGACATTAGGAAGGTTGAGAACCACTGTTCTAAGGCTTCAAGGATTACATTTTCTTTAATCAATCTCCACTTTAAGTGAGGCATAGCAATACTTCACCATAGTTTGCAAATGTTACCATTTAGATTATAATTTCCTGGTTCTCCCAACTGATTTTATGTTGGTTGGAAGATTCAGGATGTTACAGTCTGGAAAAGTAACTTTGTTTGAGATTTGGAAAAAGCAATCTGTGTATTCATGGAATATATAGAGGGCATCTACTGTAGCAATAAGACCAGCTTTTGGAGGTTGAAAAAACCATATGAATTGTTTCTCAATAATATTGTTCTAGGTTTCTCTACCACCATGAAACTGCTTGTTCTTCTTTCCTGCATTCTGGCTGTGGCAGTTGCTGTCCCAGTTCGTGTAAGTATAGAGGAGAGGAATATGGGCAAAAGTGTCAGACCAACCCTTACTTATCTCACAGTGACAAGATCTTCATAATATAATTTCCCCTGTACAATGAACCTATGAAAAAAACAATTTTAAATGGCATAGAGAACTATGTAAGAGAGGGGTAAGCAGAACAATTTAGATTTCTGTATACCTGGTGTTTGTCCTGAATTAACAACCAAAATATCAGCTCTGCAATGAAATATATAAATAGACATGTCCACTTCTCTCTGAAATCCAGGTAAACAGGTGATGGCCAGTCCCACCATTAGGTGAAGTGAGATTTGGAATGTAATGAGAAGACACCAAATTATCTACTATGGTACTTGTTGTTCATTTTCTTGAGGATGTCCAAACTTCTCAAAAACATCTGAGTAGGCCTCTGTAGTTCTTCTTATTGCACTTGTCACAAAACCATAAAGATCCAAGGCAGAAGACAACAACTGACATCAGTAATGAGGAGAGGACTAACAGCTATTACTGTTGGCTCCCCTGCCTTTTTTTCTAACTCTGGTTCATCTCCCTAACCATTCTTCAGTTAGGCCCATGCCTAAGCCAAGTACCTCATACCAAGCCAATCTATTTGTCTTAACTGTCCCCAAAGAATAAAATCCACAGAGTTGGACTCAAAGAGCTAAACAGCTTCTCTTAGACAACCAACGCTGGTGGTGTTGCTTTAGTGTTGCATACATTAAGTCAGGTTTTACTATGGCCTTGACTCTGCTAATGTTTGTTAGGGATTCCTCATCTTCAGAAGAGGAAGGGGAGCAGAAAAGTGTTCAGGAGTTAGAATCAGAGGATGAGGTCTTGCAAGTGCCCACATTTCTGGAAAGGCGAAAGGAAACAGAGCAGAGATGCCATTCAGTTAGAATAGCTGCCTGAAACACCAAAGTAATTGGGAACTTCCCTAGCACCTCCTGCATGGGGAATTCAGGGCTATAAATCAGAAGCAGAAGTAGTCAGCTTTTGCTGATAACAAATGATCCTGATGCTTATGCTCTCATTTGTACCTGCTTCAAGTCTGCGTTTGAGAACTGTTTCTAAGAATTTATTGGTCAGTGCATGTTGTTCTTCGTCTGATGTGAGACTGCTGTTTTATTTTGGACTTTATCAGAGACTTGAGTATTGTGTCTGCATTAAGACTTCTTTGCTTTCTTTTGCATTATACAACTCCGTGCACTGTTCTATTATGTTTTTGCTGAAGTAAAGCATTTTTATTTACTTTCAATGTGAGGGGCAAATCAGGACAATATTTCACACAACTCTCCCAGTTGTGACTGGGACAGTGACTCCAATGTAGCTTTATATTAAATTGGAGCTGCCCAAATTATTGAACCCTAACCCCCAAATGGTTCATCTCCTTTAAAGTTTGTATTAAAGCAAGGAGCAGATTCACTATCTCATTCAAGAGTTAATACTAGATATAACAAGAGTAACAGAGAGAGAATGAGGAATCAAATAGAAAGAAATGTGCCTAACCCCATTTTCTCTGTTTGACAGAGGTCAGCAAGCTCCAGTGAAGAGGTAAGCCATCTCTGTATTTGAAATGTAGTATGGTAGAAGAAATTTGACATCCATGCATTTCAGGAAAGGTCTTCAGTTTCAGGAAAATATTTCCAGGAAATTGTAAACATATTTGTACCTTGTCTTTTTTATTTCATTCAGTGTAGTGCTCAGCAAGTAGCAAAATCAAGATTTGCTTTTCAAGTTGTGTTTAGCTGAAGCCATGAATGTAGGACCCATCAATACAGAGTTGGCTGAACATGATAAATACTTCAGCCTTTGAGAATGCAGTAGAGAAGCAAAAAGACATTGGGAAACCCCCAAACTGTGATCTGTTGGGGAAATGGATGTGGCAATTTGGGGGAGCTCTGAGGATCAGATGGGGATCTCAAAGAGAGTTGCATTAGTCCCAAGATCCAATAGTCACTATTCTTTCTTTAAAGGAAACCTTATACCAAAAGCATCATGTTATTCTAATCTGAATGTAAGAAATGTGCAGTCAACCTTGTTCCTTTATGCTTCAGAGGTTTATGTCTGTTTTAATCTTTCAAGTCTCTGGTTTGTGAGAATTCTCAAATTGCTTTATAATAATGGTTGATTGAAGTGACTGGACTGACCTTTATAATAATGGTTGAAGTGACTGGACTGACCTTGAAGGAGCTGGGGGTGGTGACGGCCGACAGGGAGCTCTGGCGTGGACTGGTCCATGAAGTCACGAAGAGTCGGAGACGACTGAACGAATGAACAACAATGGTTGATTTGGAAGTGTAAGAATAACATTTCTTTCTGCTTCCACAGCGTCGTCGTCCGCCGCCCATGATGCCTCCTCAGCCAGTGTACCCACAGTTTCCACCTCAGTTTCCATTTCAGTTTCCTCCTCAACAAAATGTTCCTCCACAGGTAAGGTCATTGAGATAGAGAAGTAACATGGTCTATATTTCTGACAAGTACTTACTTCTTTCCCTGTATTATACAGTCGGTCCCCATCTACTGAAACTGGCAATTGTGCTTCAGCTCCTATCACCCTTTGATAAAACACAAGGAAAGAATATAGGAATATCTGAATCACAGAGCTAACAATTCACACATCATGTAGAGTCAGTAAGGAAGAAAGAAAAAGAGAGACAGAATAAATGAAGATAAGTTTGTAACATTCTCAAGATGGATCTGCAATACCATGTAATCCAGATTATCCCATCACCTGCTTTGAACTGGATTATATGAGTCTACACTGCCATAAAATCCAGTTCAAAACAGATAATCTGCATTTTATATGGCCTCACAAAAAATCAATGTCGTATAATCAATATTTTAGCCATATAATTTTTATAATAATACTAATGGTACTATACTATATCTGTGAAGGTGACTTTGTCATAAATCTGTTTACAATTGGTATAAACAAGGCTACACTTACTGCATCTTAGGTTAACACTTGAATCCGCTAATGTAACGTAGTATCAAAGTAGAAATCGCAACTCACATAGTTGCTGGTCCTTCAGGTGGAAAATGAAACCTTAAGTACACAAGTTTGGATTAGATGAACTGTTGCCATACTTACCATATTATTACCATTAGAGAACAAATGAAAAAACTTCAAGGCTTTGAGGAACGGACAACGTCAGATGTTTTTGATCTATAAAACCCTTTGGCTGGTGGGGAATTATGAGAGCAATATATGAAAAATATATTTCCCTATTCCTACTCAAAATAAGAACTTGGTTTTCTGTATCAATCTATATTGCAACCCTCCTCCTAAAAACTCCAAGTAATTTTAATGACAGCTAGCAAAGAATATTCCTTTTCACAGCTTCCATTGATTTCCCATCCGAATTGAGCAAATCATCAAACTTCAGGAACACGGATAACATTGAAAACATGAACTGGAAATAATTAGCATTCTCATTTCATATTCTTGTTTCTTTTACAGATGATACCTATTCCAGTTCCCTATGATCCAGCTCAGGTAATTTTTAAATCTCTTTCTAAATTGCAAAAAACAAAAAAACAAAAAACAAAACAAAACCCATAACCTGTAAAAGGGGCTTTGGATGGCGGGTCATTATGACCTCTGTTATGACCCAACATATAAACTCCCATCATCCAGAGATAAACTTATCCTCTCTACCATCACCCGAAGATTTACAGGACCTCCCTGTTTATTGTCACTTGGATAGTGAAATAGAGTGGTCTTTTTGGCCAGCTCCCACCAGCATGTACCAGCACAGTTAATCTTGAAACAAGATTAATGAGTGACTGCCTCTTCCCAGCCCATACAATAGAACTAGGTACCAAAAATCACCTGCTATGGTTGATGAGCAATAGTCTAACCTGATATAAGTCAGCTTCCTTGTGTTTTGATCCCACATCTTATAACCTCAATAATATAACTTGATATGACATGCTGGAATGCAATTACAGAAGGACAACCAAACTGGTCAATGGTCTAAAAGCCAAGCCCTATGAGGAGTGGCTTAGAGAGTTTGGCATGTTTGGCTTGGAAAGGAGATGATTAAGAGGGGACATACTAGCTATATTTAAATATTTGAAAATATGCCATATTGAGGAGGGAAGGAGCAAGCTTGCTTTTTATTTTATTTATATTTTTGCTGCTCCAAAGACCAACTATTACATCACACTAGAGAATGAATCCACTTTGAATCCGGTTTTTGCCTCCTGCAGAATTATGGGGCTTGTAGTTTAGTGAGGCTATTAAAGGCTCCTCCCTAAACTACAAACCCCATAATTGTGCAGGAGGCAGAAACTGGATTTTAAGTGGATTCATTCTCTAGTGTGATGAGGCAGCATTATACAGAGCAATGGATTCAAAAAGAGATTCAGGAAAAGAGATTTCACCTAAATATTAGGAAAAACTTCCTGACAGTAAAAGCTAACTGACATTGGAATAAGCTGCCTTGAAATGCCACATTTTGCTTGTTTGTGTATTTCTGCATAGCAAAATAGGTTGGACTGAGTGGCCATTGTGGTATCTTCCAATTCTTTGATTTATGGTGAAGTTCATCCTGGTATACGCAACGGTTCGCTTTCCATGTCAGCTGTTCACTCTTTGTTTGCTTAGTTCAAACTTAGAATTATATTCAGGTTGAACCATTAAGGAAAAATAAGTTTAGTTGAGAAAGTAAGAAAGTTGAAATCTAGAGAGGAATCCAGAAAAACTAAGCACTTCCAAACTTGAAGAAACCCTGCCGAAAATTTCAAAAAGTGAATTTGTGTTGAATATTGTGATTTAAAGAGCCTAAAAGCAAACAAAATAATACCCACATAAACACAACCGTAGAAGGGTTGGCACAGTGTGTTATTTTTAAAAGTCTCTGTAAAAAGGAAGCCAAAGAATTACTTTAACAACATGGAATCCATATTGGGAAGCATGTATGATTGATTAAATATTGTCCCTTCTGTTTAGAATGCTACTGGTGGTTTCCCACTCCCGGTAAGCTAATTCATCTAAGTTATTTTCTTGGCATTTTTAGGCTTCAGTAAGTGTAGTGCAGGAATTTGAGCATGGTTCTGGAGATGAGGGCTTTACTGAAGATAACCCATTCATGGATTAAATTAGAAGTGTGCATGGCACTTTTCCACAGAAAAAATTCAAGTTAGTTAAAATGTCCTTAACCAAACAAGCCCACTACACTTCATGTGAAAATTATGTACACCATCAGTTTGAGCACACATTTTTTTCTTCTTTTCTCTTTCCAGCCACTTCCTGTAAATCCTGCAGTTCCTTTTCCGGTAAGATTGCGATTTCTTGTCAAGAAACATTTTTATCACCTTAGGTCTAAATCCAAATTCAAGGTCTATAGGATTTATCTGAACACCTGAGTTGTATATTCATGGATCAAATTAAAAATATGTATAATACTCTTCCAAAGAGAAAACAATGTTGAAGGTAATTCAAAAACTGGTATAACAAAATGGGTTCTGAATGCATTATAGGAATGTTGTGTGCCATATCAGTGTTTCCATACATTTTCTCCTTTTCTCTTTCCAGGGGCCTTTTCCTGGATTTCCTTTTCCGGTAAGATGGCTGTTTTCTATTGAGCAACATCTTTTATCATCTGAGGTTTCAAGCAAACCTAGGCCCAATAACAGGCATGGGCAAACATGGGTAGGGAGTAAGGCTATGCAATTGCAATCAAAGGCATTGCTCCAATAATTAAATGTTTTTATTTGTTTAAAGAACACATATGTCAAAAGACAATAGCTAATATAATGAAGCGTAAAGATAATTTATTTGTTTTTGCTACTTTGCAAAATATAATTATGAAGACCCACAAATAGGCACAAATAGGAAATACAGCACAAATGGTACATTCAGTACAAATTATCTACTACTTCATGGTAGAGAGGAAAGGTTCACAATCCCCATTTGTACAGACACATGACTCACTGTAGTGTTGAGATCTGTCTGTTTTGTTCATCAAGTTGTACTGTTGATTGACCTGCACTTTCAGACTTGAGAAGATTAATTGTTTTTTCCCTATCCTTCTCCCCTTTAGGGTACTTTTCCTGGATATCCTTTTCCGGTAAAATCATTGCTCTAAATCATCTTTGGGCTGAAGGAAAACTTCGGCCCTACAGTATTTACCTGCCTTTGTCAGTAGAGTTGGACAATTAGTATTTCCGGGATGAAATATATGTATTGGGGAAAGGAACAAAACAAGAGAGAGATTCCCAAAAGAAGTCTGTTGTGGAGTCAATATGATATGGTTTCTTCCCACATAAATGCCATATAGAGAATATGGGTTGGTAATGTTCAGTTGAGTAGCAAACATGTCTTTTTGAACATAGTCACTCTAAAATACTGGGTTGATGTGAAAATTACTGGGTTGAAAAGTGGGAACAATAGAATAACCCTATTAGATCAGATCCTCCAAGTCCATGTGTCCGGCTGTGACTCAGTAGAAAAGCACAGGTCCCAGTTTCAATCGATGATAGGACTGAGCAAGACTCTTGAATGAAAGCTTTGAAAGCCACTGACACTGTGATGGAGCAAGGGTCAGTGCTGGGTAACTTTTATGTTCTCTAATGAATAACAAGGTTTGGCATACCCTTTCACCTAATACTCTCTTTTGGCTCATATGTGTCATCCCCAGCGAGAGACACTCCACAGTTATGGTTAGTGGGCAGATGAACATTGAACACTGGTTCATTACCCATATGCTTTGAGTTAGTATTGAACAAAGGTTTCTTTTAATAATCTGAATGTAATGTTTTGTGCATTTCAGGGCTTCCCACCAGTTGTAGGGGTAAGTATTTCTATTTATCCATAATACAATTTGGTGTAACCAGTACAATTGCATTTCAAGTCAAACCATTTTCTGGTCAGCCCACAAGTATGACATTTTGCTGGTTGAGAATGATGGGGATTATAGTTCCACACATCTGAATTAGGAAAGGCTGGTATATGAAACAGAAGGAGACTCAAATTTGATTGCGTGTTAAAAAAAAAACAACCCTTTGTTTTCACAGGATTTAGAATATGCCAAATGCAAGAGACCATTATTGCATTTACACTAGAGAATTAATGTGGCTTGACATCACAGTGTGTCTCAATGCTATAGAAACATGGACGTTGTAGTTTGACAAGTTCTTTAGCCTTCTCTGCCAAAGCATGCTGGTATCTAAACAAACTATAGCTCCCAGGCTTCCAGAATATTGAGCAATGTCCAATGAAGTGGTATAGAACTGCATTAATTCTACAGTGTAGATACACCTTTAGTACATGGAAAGAGCCAATGCTGGCAAATTATTTTCTAGTGTAATCTGGTGGTGTATTTTGAAGAATTTGAAGAAACTGAAGCCTTTGACATTATTAAAGCTAATCCAGCCCAAATCATGAATTGTACAGCTTTTTCTTACATTTTGTCCAACCAAACAGGAGTCACCTCAAAGGCTATGAGCTGAATTTGTCCATTGAAGAGACCACTTTTTAAACATTGCTAAAGACCTTGCTTTGTTTATATTTGTTTCTGGCATATCCTGCCACGCAGTGGTCATTGAAATCAAGTATATTAGTAAACTGATCACAATTGTCCTTGGTTAAATATAAGAATATTTTTAACTTTAGAAAAGCTATGTAATTTTTTTCACTGATCAAAAGGTGGGATTGTTGAACTGTGTAGAAAAGCAATTTACTGGTCCTTGTAGTTTAGAAACTGGGATAATCAGATGTTTCCATGGCGTATAGCTAAGAAACATGATTCATATTGGGTCAGTGTTCTCCGAAGTAAAACCTACCAATCAGAAACCTTTGGCAACTGCAGCAGGTAATGTTGTGTATACATTAATTAGTGAAGAACACTTAATTAAAAATATTTCTTTTCTTTGCAGAAGTAACATCTCAGCAGATACACCCTCTTGGTATGTACTACATACTTTTTCAGTAAACTCTTTATTAGTATTGTTCACAAATTATATACACTTATACTATTGCCTTTTAAATGTAAATTTTATTAGCTTTTGGTAATTACATGCATTTGTTATTAACCATTTACTGCTCATCCAAATTTGGCACAAGTTGAGGTTTAAGTTAAAAGAAACACTTCAAATCTGCACCACATCCCAGGTTTAATTGTATGATTCAGCTTCCTTCATGTATGTAGTACTCAACCCACCAAATGTTGAGAAAAGATTAAGGCTGGCTGTCCAGGAAATTTTACTTAGAAGCTTTTGTTGAAACAATACAGTATATTTTATTGCTGTCAATGGAGAACATTAAGCACTAAATTAATTGTTGAAGTTGCCGGGTCTTTCAGAATGCATTTTTGGCTAAATTATGATCTTATTTAGAAACAGTAAAGGGGAAACATACAGAAGCCAAAAATTATGGATTTATAACTCTAACAGAAGCTTATAGCACCCTATCAACGAAGCCTATGATGAAAGAACACATATATGAGAACAGCACATCGTAGTGCTGGGCCCACTGAGCTGCTGAACTTGCTGACCAAAAGGTTGGCAGTTCAAATCCAGAGAGCAGGGTGAGCTCCTGCTGTTAGGCCCAGCTTCTGCCAAACTAGCAGTTTGAAAATATGCAAATGTGAGTAGATCAATAGGTACCGCTTCTGCAGGAAGGTCACAGCACTCCATGCAGTCATGTCAGCCACATGACCTTGGAGGTGTCTATGGACAACTCCTGCTCTTAGGCTTAGAAGTGGAGATGTGCACTACCCTCCAGAGTTGAACACGACTAGACTTAATGTCAGGGAAAACCTTTACCTTTACCTCATACTGCTATGTACAGTTCAGATCACTGGTTCATCCACTTCAGTAGTGTCTAACCTGACTCACAGTGGCTTCTAAATGTGTGTATTTTTGCATTTTTTGGAAATGTCAGGAACTGAACCTGCACTTTTTGCATGCAAAATGCACATTCTACCACTGAGCTAAAGTCTCCTTCCTGAAAACAACATGCCATACTGTTTAAATCAAGAAATAGGAAATTGCTTATTGTCACTAAGCTACAAATCTGATTTTATATTTTCAAGGTAATGGAACCAAATCTGAAAGATGTCTTTCAAGCCAGCCTGCCTCCCTTTAACTCTTCTGCTGCAGTCTTCAAGACCCATGTGAACATATCTTGAATGACCCTTTTGGAAACTCCATATGACTGAAAAGAATTTTGATTCATGTTGACAGTATAAAACACTTGTAATTGCTGATACATAATTCACCTAAAGCAATGTAATAGCATCAATTTATCAACTACATTATATTTGGAACATTAAGGATAGATGACTTAAGGCAATCCTGTATTCCTTATGGAGTAACCTTTGATTAACATCAGCATGGAATATCTTATAATTTCCTATCACTTAACCTCCTACAACATGATTTCCCTCCACAGGAAATATAGACATAAATGCATAGGTTCCAGGCTTACTGATCATAGATCAATTGTCTCACTAATCAAATTAGAATTTAACACCTATTTCATTCCTTGCTGGAAATCATTGCTTTTTTCCTTTTAACAACTGCATAAATAAAAAAATATATATAAATCAATATATGTATGTGTGTCACTTTGAAACTGAAGTTAGCCACAGTGATCATTTCCAACAAAATTTCCCATGTTCTTTCTGCACTGGCATAACACTGGAAGTGGATTTTGCAGTCAAAAAGATCTAAACAAGACTGCAAAATAGTCAGAAATGCTCCCAAAACTATAGGTTTGGTCATTTCATACAGTCTTCTAGCATTCTTCTTTTATATTTATCCAGTAAGTCAAGATTCAAGATGGGCTACCCTTTCTAGGCAATGGTACTCTTTGGATTTCCCTATGCCTCTAAGAGCAATCCAAAGCTAGGTGAAACACAGAGAAAACAAGATATGATTGTGACAATGGTCTGTGCCATTTATACCACAAAGAAGCAACGGGAATGAAATCATCTTCTGCATTTTAGCACATACCTACAGATTAGCTTAGTAAGCAGCATAATGACCACCAGCACCACCTTTAAACGTACATTTAGAAGCACCACAGTGAATGAATCATGGGACACTTACTGGTTATACATGTTTGCATTTGAATTGTTTCCCAATAAATCTTCCCTATCTGTGATGCTTCCAGGTTAACTCAATGCCAACATGACCGACAGGCATAGCATGTCAAAGTGACATCCAAAAAGTGTCAAATTTAACAATCAGTTTTGTATTGCAGTCATAGAAGCTTGGGAACGGGTTTTTAAAATGCTGGTGGTATCAACTAAATAACTCATCTTATGGAATCCAAAGAGCAGCACAACTTTCTGTGATGCTTTCTGATGACTTCAGGACTTTATCACATGGAGGTGGTAAACAAGCATAGAAGCAGATCCATCACATTTGATCCTTATTCCATGATGCTGCATTCAACCCATTGCTGGTCTGCCATCTTTCTGCAACAAACCTGTCCATTACTATAGATGGGTGAAACCTGTGAGCTTCCTTGGTGTCAGCACAGAAGTACCACCAAGGGATGGGGTTGTATTCCTCTCCCACTTTCCCCTCACAGCGATGACTGACTTAAAAAAATACCATGCTTTGCTGACATTGGAAATTTGTCCTAGTCTAGGAGACAGGACAGAGTTTGTATATTGCCCTTTTCCAAAAATCCAACTCAGAATTACTAGCAGAGCAGAGAATGCATTCTCTAGGTCAAGCAGTCAGAGATACACACAAAAGTGATCAATCAAAGGAGTCCACCTGGTGAAGACTGAGAGAGTCATCTATGATGAAGCAAAGGTCAGCTCAGATGGGAAACATGATCCAAAGATTCAGAGCCATGGAGGTCTCAGAAGGTCAATTGTCAATGAATCAGATATAACATGAGAAATGTGTATACCAAAAATATAATACATAAAACAGGACTAGACTCAGGGGAAGGGGAAAATTTGAGGAAAGAACTTCAACAATTTAAGATATGCAGATGACACTGTACTAATACCTGAAGATAACAATGGTTTCACATGATTACTATAGAAAGTCAAGAAAGAAAGTGCAAATCAGATTTACAGTTAAACATTAAAAAAGCAAAACTAACCATAAATGATTTACATAATTTTAAGTTAGACAATGAAGACATTGAAAAAGTTACATATTTTCCATACCTTGGCTCAATAATTAATCAGAATGTAGGCTCCAGTCAAGAAATCAGAAGAAGGCTAGGACTATGAAGCTATGAAGGAACTAGGCAAGATCCCGAAGTGTAAAGATGTATCATTTAATAATGAAGTTAGGACAACACAAGTGTAGTGAGAAATGAGGCTCATTTGATAAGGCTGTAAAAAGTTTAGCATATGCTGATGAAACTGTGCCCAGAAGTGGGATATTTGGAAGTAGCCTGCAGTGCATCACATGAGATACTAGTTAGAAAAATACTATATTACTAGGAAAAGCACCCTAACCTTTCAGTATAGTTTTCAGAATTGCCTAGCCCAAAAACTTCTGATTATTAATTATCTCTCAACTTCTGATTATTAATTATCCCATTATTCAATATACACAAAAACCATTTCAAGCACATTAAGAAAAAAAAACATTGTCCCAGGAAAATAATGTAATTGGCACAAAATAAATTATTGAAATACATAATCAAGCTAGGATCACTTGTAACTACTGTATCTCACAGGTTCTCTGCATGAATCCAAAGAAACATATGTTCCTCATTAGTCCAGAAGAGCGTTTCTCAAACTGTGTTTTGGACTTCAGTTCCCACAATTCCTAACAGCAGGTAAGCTGGATGGGAAATCTGGGATCTGAAGTCCAAAACATATGAAGGAGTACAGTTTGAGAAACACTGGTGTAGAAGATACATTTATTTCATCCTTCTGCAATAATAGTAAATAACACATAAGTGTTCTATGTGTTTTTTATTAAGATATACACATATCTTGGTAGAAACCCTTAGATCAGGCATGGGCAAACTTTGACAATGCAGGTGTTTTGGAGTTCAACTCCCACAATTCCCAACAACAGGTAAGCTGGCTGGAATTTCTGGGAGTTGAAGTCCAAAACAACTGGAGAGCCAAAGTTTGTCCATGCCTCCCCTAGATTCAATTTATTTGTTCAGTTCACGTGATAAGGAGGTTAAAGTACATGAATACGTTCAATAATTTGCAAATACTTTGCTTGCTGAAAAGTGCTACTGCAAATAATGTTGCAATCATTGAAACAAAGTTAATAAAGAGTGTTTTCAAAACCATTAATACGTATTATGGCCATAAATGAGTGCAAGTGAGAAATGTATAAAGCAGATGTCTGCTGCATAAGTAGAATATTTGTAAAAGTTTAGCAGCACCAGATATAGAAACTTCACTTGCTCTTCAAAAACATGCATATAGAAGTCACAAGTCTGCTAATTTATTAAAATCTCCTGCTTCATTTTATTGTTGAATTTAGAGCCATGGACTGTGGATAAGAGGATCCGTGCCTGGTGAGCAGTATGCTAAAAACCAGCTAGACCTGAACAGAGAAACCAACTCATCAGTTGAAGAGAAACATAGAAGTTTATTTAATTTGGCCCAAAGGGATGGATGTACAGAAATTTTACCTCAAAATGTACAAGCATAAACATAGAGAGAAATACAGGATTGTAGAGGTCGCACGAGCCAATTGTCCAGGGCTGCCACCAATTGTAGAGGTGCAAACCCAACGATAGACAGGGTATAGGGATTTTATCTTTAAAGATCCCACCTCTGTCTCCAATTGTACAGGTGTGGATGATTATGGAGGGAATTAATCTCAGGCCTCTATTGTTGATAAGAATATGTTATAGAGGAGGCCAATTGTTATTTGTAATTTAAGGTAACTGCCACCAACGTGAAGTATTTGAGGTACCACTGATGAGATCTGGCTCTACAGACGCAGATTAATGGAGATGAGACGGTCTTCAACAAAAGTTAACAAGTTTATTGTGTACAAAGCGTATGGTTGCAGGCTGTTAAATAACTTATAGAACTTTGAATATAACTTAGTTTGTAATACAGTCCACTCTTCTAGATGACACAGCTCGTGGCTAACTTTTACTGAGGTGAAGCACTTTGGTGAACAATGTTTCCTAATATGAATAGCCTTCCAATTTGATCTTTCCTTGATCAAATCCCTGATCTCTAGTCCTTCCTCGACTAGGGATCTTAACAAGCTTCCTTTAGTCTACTTTAACTAAAGAAACTGGTCAGGTTTCTCCTTTCAGCCCTCCTAGACTGAAAAACCTCCAGCTATTCACACTCACCTCTCTCCCAGGCTTTTCAAGCCTCTACTCTCACACACTGACTCTCAGACTCCAACTGCCCCTTTTTCAAAGACGCACATAACTTCTCCTCCTTGGCTCCGCCCACTTCTCACTGAGCTAGCCTGCCTGGTTTCCTTGGCAACGCTCCCTGTTGGTTCAAACCAGGTAACTCTTGTCTTAGCTACTATTACAAACACAAACATATACTCTAACAGTTAAACATATACATAGTATCAATGACTTCTGCACAAGGATATCTTACATATTTCAATTTTGATAGCTATTTGGATTTCCCACCCCATAAGAAGGAGGGGGAGGAGTTTATTTGTACCCTGTCACCATATCCCCAAAGGGACTTGGGGTGGCTCACAGAAGCACCACAAAGTGCTGCACTCAAGACAACAATACACAAGCATATAAAACAAAATTAATCTAAAAACAACGAACATTCATAAACCTCATCTGATAAAATGTAGAATTCATAAAACACAGTAGAACCAGCAAATAAAACTGGTTATCTATCCCCTCCCCCCTTTTTTTTGTCATGTCAGATGCGACTTGAGAAACTGCAAGTCGCTTCTGGTGTGAGAGAATTGGCCGTCTGCAAGGACATTGCCCAGGGGACGCCCGGAGGTTTTTGATGTTTTTACCATCCTTGATTGGCCAGAAAAGAGGCTGGATATGATCCATACCAGGATTGGTTATCAGGGGAGAAGGGCAACAGCGAATGGTCATAGTGAAGGGCCGGTCAGCTGCAGAGCCATCCCTCTGGGAGGGAAATAAGTAAAGATATGTCGATGGCTTTTGATGAGCTCAAATGTCTAGTTCCATGCCAAACAAAGGAACTTCAGAAAACAAAGGTGTGAGACATAGATGTTGATCTTGAGTATTCAAAGGCTTGGATGTCAACAGAAGAGGTTTCACACATGCACATAAACCCCTATTTTTTTTAAGGCAGCAATCTCTCAGCTGTAAGTGATCCATATAGCTAGACAAACAGGTTTGGGTTTATCTGGTCTGGCAGGAAATCACCTATCTCTGCATATACATGAACGATGAATCTGATTAATTGTTTTGGCTTGGGAAAAGGCACAGAGGGGTTTGTTTAGCCTTCCTTTTCCCAGGGAATTATGTTGCAGGGTCATGTAGAGTTGCCTGTATTGATACATTTTATAAAACAGTTTATACATTTCAGATTTATGAAGTGGATAGAGAATATAAAAAGATAAAAGTTATATAGAAAGTCATGAAGAATAGATGCAATTTATTAAA